TAGAAAGGCAATGCTGAAGTGTAAAATTGCTAATGCAGGCTCATAGCCTGGAAAATGATTTCTTTTAATAGTTTTCTTCATTTAACCGTTCTTCATTTGAAAATGGTCCCTTTCAACTGCAGATTTTGTGGTTTGGTGCAGTGAAGAGGAAATTTATTCCTTTGACACATTTATTCTTTTAATAATTATTCATTTGAAAAAGTTTCACTGGGTGCCTACAAATTTTGCAGTTTGCAGAGAGATTCATTCTTGACAGAATTTTTTTTTTAATGTTTATTCACTTAAGTAGGTTCTCACTCCAGGGAATTGTTGCTGAGATTTCTTTAAACTGGAGCTTCCTGGGGGTTCTGGAAACACAGTAATGCTAATCTCAGATCGTAGATTTTCCAGGGTCTCAAAAGAGTCACAGCATTGGCAAAGAGGAGAAAAGTGAGCCATTTGAGGGACAAAATTTACCTAACCATTAATAGATGTCCTTACCTATAATGTTAATGTTTATGATTTAGACATTGCTACCATAGAGCATTTACAAGAGAACTAGTTTGGGGATGAAGTAAGTGGCCATGAAAATACATGTGTCAAACTTTGCCACATAGATTGAAAGCAGGGTGTCTGTTTCGAATATTTTGTTTTAATATTTAATATGACCATACTAATTTCAAACAAACTTTTGACTTGTTTCAAAATTGTACCCACCCTAAATAGGGTCATGATGTGTTATTATTGTAAGGAAAAGTACACACCTATTTACTCTGCTCACTCTGAACCCATTTGTATCCACAGTTCCAAAGACAGCGCCCACCAACGTAAGTGGAAGAAGCGGAAGGAGATATGAGTTAGTCATTGCCTGGGAGGTAAGAAAGCCTTTCTTTACTCAGGTGTCAGAACTGGTTAATTCTTTAGAGACTGAGGCTACACATACAGTATCTGCTCCTGGTACGAGAGACCACATCTAAGGTGTGCTTTCCTGTCATACAGGTTACCTCAGAATAAAGTTGGAATAATTAAAACACATCCTGTCACAAATTACTTCAGGTGCTTGTTTGGCTTAGTTTCATATTTAATTATTTTATGATTAAGTAGTCTCACTGACTTATTTGGAGGCTAGAACCAGTGGGGAGGAAGGAAATAACCACCATTGAATAGAGACACATTACCTGGATCATCTCATTTAACCCATATAACAATCTTATTAGCAGAGACAACTTTCCTCTTTTTACAAATTACAAAACTGAAGCACAGTTTTAGTACCTTCCCCAATATACAGAATTAGGACTTTGATTACAAAATTTTGGGGTGTTTTTTGGTCTACCTCATCATATGGCCTCTAAAGTATCTTTTTGTTTGTTCGTTTGTTTTTAGGAAGTTTCCATAATGTACATGTTATTTTTTTTCTTTTT